TTTGGGGCAGGTGTTTGTTTTGTGTTGGGTGTTGTGGTGTGGGGGTGTGTGTGTGTTTTGTGTAAATCACCCATTTGTACTCACCATATTTGTGGTTGCAGGGGTTTGATTCCAGCTCCCCGGCCCCCCCCTCTTCGTGATTTGGGTACTAGGTCCCCCTCTCTCCTTGCCCCCTTTTGGGTTATTTATAACCCCGCCTTTAAAAATTGAAAGGGTTTTTGGGCCCCCAACTAAACCCTTTCTAAGGGTATTCCATGGCCCTGACCAAATTAGCTTTAAGAAAAATTTTCCCAACATCCCTTTGATTCATCTGGGGTCTTCCCCTTCCAATTGTGACCCCTTGTGTCTGTGTCCATCTCTGGAAAAATCCCGTCTTTGTTCCCCCTTGTCTATTTTCCCCCGCAAATATTTTATATGTGTTATCCCTGTCTCCCCCGACCCCCCTGTCCCTTTGTGTGTCAGGCCGATTTCCCTCAAACCCTTTTTTCGTTGGACAATCCCCGTAGGTCTGGAAATAGTTTGTTGCAAACCTTTGCACTTTTCTCTAATTTCTTGACATGCTTTACTAGGTGTGGATTCCAAACTGGTTTCTGCATACTCCGTATGGGGCCCGGGCGTAGATGGGATACAGGGGTCTTAAAAGAATCCTTACTGAGGTATTGGAATGCTTTCCGTGGGGGTTTTCCCGGGGTCCGTATGCTGCAGCGTTATCTGATTGATGTGTTTCCTAAAGGGATTGCTCGGTTTTTATTCTCACCCCGATCTTTTTCCTTGAGTGAGGTTTGCGGGCTTTGGCCATTAAAAATATTTGTGTCTGCGGTTTTTTTTGTCCTTCCCCCCAATTTTATGACTTTGCATTTGGCAGGGTTAAATTCAAGGAAACCTTTGCTGGCCAGGTTGTAGCCTGTCCAGGTCTTTTTTTAGTCCGCCGATCCTCGTCCGATTTGATTCTTCTCATTAACTTCGCATCATTGCAAACAAGGACACTTGAGCTAAACCCTTCCGTTATGTCGTTCACTATTCCAAGACGAAAGGTCCTAGGACTGACCCCTGTGGAACCCCGCTTGTTACAGGCGCCCACTCTGACACCTCGTCGCGTACCATGACTCGTTGTTGCCTCCCTGTCAGATATTCACGGGGGTCGTCCCACAGTTACTAAAAACAACAGACATAGCCCCACTCCACAAAGGGGGCAGTAAAGCAACAGCAAAGAACTACAGATCAATAGCACTAACATCCCATATCATAAAAATCTTTGAAAGGGTCCTAAGAAGCAAGATCACCACCCATCTAGAAACCCATCAGTTACACAACCCAGGGTAACATGGGTTTAGAACAGGTCGCTCCTGTCTGTCTCAACTATTGGATCACTACGACAAGGTCCTAAATGCACTAGAAGACAAAAAGAATGCAGATGTAATATATACAGACTTTGCAAAAGCCTTTGACAAGTGTGACCATGGCGTAATAGCGCACAAAATGCGTGCTAAAGGAATAACAGGAAAAGTCGGTCGATGGATCTATAATTTCCTCACTAACAGAACACAGAGAATAGTCGTCAACAGAGTAAAGTCCGAGGCAGCTACGGTGAAAAGCTCTGTTCCACAAGGCACAGTACTCGCTCCCATCTTGTTCCTCATCCTCATATCCGACATAGACAAGGATGTCAGCCACAGCACCGTGTCTTCCTTTGCAGATGACACCCGAATCTGCATGACAGTGTCTTCCATTGCAGACACTGCAAGGCTCCAGGCGGACATCAACCAAATCTTTCAGTGGGCTGCAGAAAACAATATGAAGTTCAACGATGAGAAATTTCAATTACTCAGATATGGTAAACATGAGGAAATTAAATCTTCATCAGAGTACAAAACAAATTCTGGCCACAAAATAGAGCGAAACACCAACGTCAAAGACCTGGGAGTGATCATGTCGGAGGATCTCACCTTCAAGGACCATAACATTGTATCAATCGCATCTGCTAGAAAAATGACAGGATGGATAATGAGAACCTTCAAAACTAGGGAGGCCAAGCCCATGATGACACTCTTCAGGTCACTTGTGCTATCTAGGCTGGAATATTGCTGCACACTAACAGCACCTTTCAAGGCAGGTGAAATTGCTGACCTAGAAAATGTACAGAGAACTTTCACGGCACGCAAAATGGAGATAAAACACCTCAATTACTGGGAGCGCTTGAGGTTCCTAAACCTGTATTCCCTGGAACGCAGGAGGGAGAGATACATGATTATATACACCTGGAAAATCCTAGAGGGACTAGTACCGAACTTGCACACGAAAATCACTCACTACGAAAGCAAAAGACTTGGCAGACGATGCACCATCCCCCCAATGAAAAGCAGGGGTGTCACTAGCACGTTAAGAGACCATACAATAGGTGTCAGGGGCCCGAGACTGTTCAACTGCCTCCCAGCACACATAAAGGGGATTACCAACAGACCCCTGGCAGTCTTCAAGCTGGCACTGGACAAGCACCTAAAGTCAGTTCCTGATCAGCCGGGCTGTGGATCGTACGTTGGTTTGCGTGCAGCCAGCAGCAACAGCCTGGTTGATCAGGCTCTGATCCACCAGGAGGCCTGGTGACAGACCGGGCCGCGGGGGCGTTGACCCCCGGAACTCTCTCCAGGTAAACTCCAGGTAAGTGCCCTTCCTGATATGTGTGCCTGATCCTCTAGCATTTGCAGTAACCTCTTTTGAGGAACTGTGTCGAAGCCCTTCTTGCAGTGGAAAAATATGCAGTCGATCCACCCCTCTCTCTCTTGTGTGTGTGTGTGTGTGTGTGTGTGTGTGTGTGTGTTGTGCGTGTGTGTGTGTGTGGGTGTGTGTGGTGGTGTGTGTGTGTGTGTGTGGTGTGTGCGTGTGCTTCGCGCGAGCGCGTGTTCTTTTTGTTCTAAACGAGTTGTGGCCAGAAAAATTTAATCTCATGATTTTCGGGGCTTTTATTGAGATTTTTTCGAAAATGAAAATAGAGCCTTAATCTTTTATGTATTAACGAAAGTCAAGGTCGCATTCAACATTGACTGCCCACAGCATGCCCAAACCCCAGATCTGCTTGTTTTTCAGGAGGTCGTGTAAATTAACCTGCGCAAAAAATGAGCGAGGTTTCCCGGCATTTGTAATTTGGGGAAAAAAATTGTAAGTGTTGTCCCAAGCAATGCACGCAGAAGTGTGCACTGACTCAATGGGGGGTTTTGTGTTCAAGACCCAAAGGACTTGTTTTAAAGGGTTCATAAACGGGGGACTGTCAAGGTTAGGATGCATTTTCTGCAGCCGGGAAGTAAGTTGATAAATTAACAAATTATTCCTGTTACCTTAAAATATCTATCAATTCAAAACTAATATTAACAGATATCAAACATACTTAAATGACTACAAATATTAAATTTATTAATACAAAAGCTGTTTCCCGATTTAGAAAACAGTTAAAAGAAATAATTATTCATGATATTAAATTTCAGTAGGCTTTTTAAAATTTTATATAATTTTTTTTAAATAGTTACAAAAAATTCGAAAGACGTATGCTAGTAACTATTGTCAGAGGAACTTATCATGACAGGTCTTTTTGTGTGTAGTGTTATGTGTGTATGTGTGTATCTGTGTGGCGTGTGCGTGAGTGAGTGTGGTGTGTGTGTGTGTTGTGTGTGTGTGTTTTGTGTGTGTGTGTGTGTGTGTTGTTGCGTGTTTGTGTGTGTGTGTGCTTTCGTTTGTTTCACCGAGTTGGGCGGAAAAAGGTTTTCCTCATGGTTTGGGTTAGATAAATAATAGTGGGTGTTGGTGGGTGGAGTTGGACCCGACTAGCTTGGGCTGGGTTGGTGAGGCTCCTCCCTTTGGGAAAGGTGACCAGACGGTGGGTCACTGGGCTAATCTGGGGGGGGGGTGTCATTGGTCTAATCCGGGGGGGAGATGGACCTGCTCCACATGGGTCAGTAGGCCTGTTGCAGTGTTCCTTTCTTATGTTCTTATGTTCTTATCTCTTGTGTGGAACTGTGTCAAACGCCTTTTTGCAGTCCATTTCTTGTGCAGGTGTGTGTTTGTGTGTGTGTGTGTGTGTACTCACCTAGTTGTACTCACCTAGTTGAGGTTGCGGGGGTCGAGTCCGAGCTCCTGGCCCCGCCTCTTCACTGATCGCTACTAGGTCACTCTCCCTGAGCCGTGAGCTTTATCATACCTCTGCTTAAAGCTATGTATGGATCCTGCCTCCACTACATCGCTTCCCAAACTATTCCACTTACTGACTACTCTGTGGCTGAAGAAATACTTCCTAACATCCCTGTGATTCATCTGTGTCTTCAGCTTCCAACTGTGTCCCCTTGTTACTGTGTCCAATCTCTGGAACATCCTGTCTTTTTCCACCTTGTCAATTCCTCTCAGTATTTTGTATGTCGTTATCATGTCCCCCCTATCTCTCCTGTCCTCCAGTGTCGTCAGGTTGATTTCCCTTAACCTCTCCTCGTAGGACATACCTCTTAGCTCTGGGACTAGTCTTGTTGCAAACCTTTGCACTTTCTCTAGTTTCTTCACGTGCTTGGCTAGGTGTGGGTTCCAAACTGGTGCCGCATACTCCAATATGGGCCTAACATACACGGTGTACAGGGTCCTGAATGTGTGTGTGTGTTTTGTGTGTGTGTGTGTGTGTGTGTGTGTGTGTGTGTGTGTGTGTGTGTATGTGTGTGTGTGTGTGTGTGTGTGTGTGTGTGTGTGTGTGTGTGTGTGTGTGTGGTGTGTGTGTGTGTGTGTCTGTGGTGTGTGTGTGTGTGTGTGTGTGTGTGTGTGTGTCTGTGTGTGTGTGTGCGCGTGTGTGCGTGTGCTTGCGTGCGAGCGTGTGTTCGTTTGTTCTCAACGAGTTGTGGCCAGAAAGATGTTAATCTCATGAGTTCTGGCTTTCATTGAGACTTTTAGAAAATGAATAATAGAACCTTAAATCATTTATGTATTAACGAAAGTCAAGAGTCGCAGTTCAACATATGACTGTTCCACAGCATGCCCAAACACCGGATCCTGCTTGTTGTACGAGGGAGGTCAGTGTAAATTAACCTGCGCAAGAAATGAGCGAGTGACTCCCGGCATTTGTAACTTGGGAAAAAATTGTAATTTTTGTGCCAAGCAATGCACGCCACTGAAGTCGTGCACTGAAAAACAATGGCTTTTGTGTTCAAGCCCGGGAAAGGACTGTTTTTAAGGGCTTCATAAACGAGGAACTGTCAAGGTTATGGATGCATGTGCTGCAAGCCACGAACGTAAGTTGATCAAATTAACAATTATTTCCCGTTCCCTTAAAAAAATTTTATCAATTCCAAAAATTTTTTTTATAACAATATCAAACCCCTACTCTAAAAATGGCAAAAAATACTTTAAAATTAAAATTAAAACAAAAACTAGTTTTCCCGATTTAAGAGAACAGTTAAAAGAAAAACATTAAATTTATGATGTTAAAAATACAAGGCTTTTTAAAAATTTTTTTATAATTCTATTTAAATAGTTTTCAAAATATTTGCAATTTACCCTAAAGCAAATAACTAGTTTCAAGGAACTTATCCATAGACAGGGCTTTTTGGTGTATTTTGTATGTGTGTAAAGAGTATGTTGTGTGTGTGTGTGATGAGTGAGTGAGTGTGTGTGTGTGTCCCCGTTTTTTGTTTGTGGGGGTGTGTTGTGTGTGGTGTTGTTGTGTGGTGGTGTGTGGTGTGTGTGGGGTGTTTTGTGGTGTGGGGTGTGTGTGTGCTTTCGTTTGTTTTTTCAAACCCAGTTGTGGGGAAAAGAAAGCTTACCTCGTGAGTTTTTGGGGTTGAATGAGACTTTCAAAAAAGAATAAAGAACCTTAAAAACATTTTTGTATTAAGGAAAGTCAAGAGTCGCAGTTCAAAATGTGAAATGTTCCACACATGCCCAAATACCAGATCATGTTTGGTTTTATGAGGGGGGCCATTGCAAAAAAAACCTGCACAAGAAATGAGCGAGGACTTCAGGCTTTTTTTAACCCTTTGGGGGAAAAAATTTCAAATGTTGCCCCCAAACAATGTACCCAAATGAAGGGGGCTGTAAAACACATAAATGTTGCCCTTTTTTTTTTTCCCCTCCGATTTCCTCCAGTTTTGGTACACAAGACAACGTTTTTCAAATCTTTTTAGAAATAATTTTTCAAAAAAATTCCTTAAAAAACAAAATGAGAAAAGAACGAAAAAGGACGAAATTTTCTGAAAATGCCCCTTTTGGGGGTTGCTTTTTCCCCAAAAAGGGACGAAAGTAAGTTGTTTTTGGAAACTTGGGGCCGAAGAACAATTTCTTTTTAAAGAAAATTTTTAATTAGTACCTTTTCCCCTAAATAACTTTTTTATTTTACAAAAAATAAAGTTTGTTTGTTCTTTTGGAAAATTTTTCAAAAAATTTCCCTTTACTCCCACATAAAACCCCCAAAATTTTTTGGAAAATTTTAAAAAAAAAAGATTAAAAGGGAAATTACCCGAAAAAAATTTTTCAAAAATTTTTGTGAATATTAATTTCATTTTAATTTAAAAAAATAAAAAGGGAGACCAAATTTTCCGAAAGTGAATTTAAATTTTCTTTCGAGATATTGGCCCCGGGGCCCCGGCCGGGCCCCCCCCCTCTAAAAAAAAAAAAAATGCGAAAATCTCGTTTTTTTTTGGGTGTATTTCTTTGTAAAACTTTCAGTTTAAACCTTTTTTAAAACAGCGTTTCCCCTTACTCAGAGCCAAAGAAAACGACATGGAACCCATATAAGAAATAGGAACTCATTTATATCGAAATATTCCCCATGGGCCTTTCGCCGGTTTTTGGCTTAATTTTTTTCAGTTTAGAGTATATAACATGGTTTTTTATGTTTTTAAAAGTGTTTTAAATTTATCATATTAGATCAATTCTTTATAGATAAATAACCCGAAAGTTTATATATAACCCATATAAAAAATAATGAAAAAAGTGATTTCTCCTGGGACTCTCTGGGGTGGGAACCCTGCCCCAGCATTCCCATATGGTTCCCGGTTGGCTCTAATTTACGGATAAG